GCCCCTTCCAGACCACCGTAGGGGATGGCCTTGGGTAATATGGACTCATAACTTTTAGAGACGTCCTTTTGTTACCTTGCACACCTATCTGTATGGCAGTCTGTTTCCTGCTTCCACTCCCATAACAATAACAAGAAGTTTGCCTTTGCCTGTGACAACCTAGCATTCCTCCCCACATATCTGGCTGCTCCTGCTTTCGGGTGGAAAAATGTGGAGACCAGGAGACAGGTAAGATTTACTAGATGTTGCAGTTTGGGTGGTGGCAGAGCGAGTCAAGCAGCTGCTATTTTAGGCAGCAGTCGTGCATCTCATTTGACCCCAGCCTGGTGTTGCTTCTGACCAGCCACTAATCCTCCAAGCTTCTGAAAACTTTGCCTCCCTGGGGAAGGGAGTCTGCAACACTTCCTGCCCCACTGACTACCCCCCCCCCCGACCTCCTTCCCAGTTCTTCCAACATAGACTATATAACCCTCTGGAATGGGAGCGCATCGTTTCTGTATATTGCATATACAATATACAGTATACCACCTGGCACACACTGGGTGCTAAATAATTAGCAGTTTTCGGTACTAGCTTCCTAATGGTGTTATCTGACTAGGGGAAAGTGTCACGCCTCTGATTCATCATCATCTCTCAGCCAGGCACATACTGTGTGTTCCCTTTGACTCCCCGCCTGCCTTTTGCCTATGTTTGTGTCCAGACACCAGAGAACTCGAGCCAGGCTTGTGGTGCCTCTGATCTCTTCAAGGCTAAGGCTCCATCTAAATAGACACAGCTCCTATCGAGCCCTTCCTGTGCACTCTCTCTCTCGCTCTCTCTCTTTCTGATGGGGCAGGAATTTTAGGTTTTCTGGGCCCCCGCCCCCCGCAGCCACAGCGTTTATTTAATATCCTGAAAAAATTTAAAATAACTTCTGCGGCCGCTAGGAAAAACAAAGATAAATATAATAAAAGTGAGACGAAAATATAGCCCCAGAGAAGGGACTGGAAGCTTTCCTAACCAACGGCTGGGATCCAGGAGGGGCATAAATGGAACAGGGATCACACACACACTTGCACAAGGAGGTGCACAAATGTGGGCTTGCACGATGAAGCAAAGATCATGTGGACGGTACCACAATATTCACATATGACTGCACAAGAACGCTGTTGCTTTCGACTCACATTACCTAACCTGTACAAACCTGGACGCACAGAGGCACATGTTTACATGCCTGTACACACTTAAATAGGCACACATGTTTACATGCCTGTACACACCTGTGTGGGCACAACAACCAAAGCTGCTGACATCTCTCTTTGGGTATGTAAATCCTTACCCACCAGAGCAAAGTGCTGGAAAGTAGAAGAAACAAATCTGCAACAAAATGTTGCAGTGTTTCCCCTGTCTGAGTGCTTTCCCCATCCCACAGTTGTTTTTTCTTTCCTGTCACTCTACAGCAGCTCTCTCCAACTTGGTGCCCTCGACATGTTTCGGCTGGGTCTGATGGGAGTTGTCGAAAAGATCTGGAGGGCACCATGTTGGGGAAGACTTTTGTGCAGTCTGTGGCGGCGCAGCTGTGTGTATTCAGTCCTGTGTGGGCTATTTGGGGCCAGGAAAGACGGCCCCTTAGGTGTTTTATTTTTAAAGCTTTTTTTTGCACTTCTGCAAACTTTTGGGTTCCACAAACATGCTGATAGCTCTCCCTAATAATAATAATAATAATTTATTATTTATACCCTGCCCATCTGGCTGGGCTTCCCCAGCCACTCTGGGAGGCTTCCAAAAAAATATTAAAATACTGTAATACATCAAACATTAAAAGCTTCCCTAAACAGGGCTCCCTTCAGATGTCTTCTAAAAGTCTGGTAGTTGTTCTCTTTGACATCTGGTGGGAAGGCATTCCAAGGGAGGGCGCCACTACTGAGAAGGCCCTCTGCCTGGTTCCCTGTAACTTGGCTTCTCGCAGTGAGGGAACCGCCAGAAGGCCCTCAGCGCTGGACCTCAGTGTCCGGATAGAACGATGGGGGTGGAGACGCTCCTTCAGATATACTGGACCGAGGCCGTTTAGGGCTTTAAAGGCCAGCACCCACACTTTGAATTGTGCTCGGAAACATACTTGTTTACTCAGTAGCCCTGTTTTCCCCACAAGTCCTGTTGGCAATCATCACGAGTTTGCTATTGGAAAGAGTGACTAGATGTCAGGGACTGGGCAGAGAATGAATGGTGGAGACTGCCTCCCCAGCCTGACCCTTCCAGGGAGGAGGAAGAGGAAGGCAATTTAGATTTATAACTGGGGTTTGTGGGAGGGCACAGCTCAGAGGCAGATGGGGAGGGGGGAATTGGGAAATTAAATAGAGGAGGAGGAGGAAGCAGCAGCAGAGGGGCGACAGATGGTGTCTTTAGAAAGCATTCCAGACCCAATCCCACCCCTCCCAGAACCCGGCAAGCCTTGAAAGTAGGAGAGCAAAGAGCTCAAAGACAGAGTACCTGTAGAAGTGATGAATGAGGAAGTGGGAGAGACGGGGGTGGAGATTTGCTCAGGACAACGCCATTGGGTTGGGGGATATTGGGTTGTTTTTATTTTTATTATGTATTTTGTATATGTACCGTATTTTTCGCTCTATAAGACGCACCAGACCACAAGACGCACCTAGTTTTTGGAGGAGGAAAACAAGAGAAAAAATATTCTGAATCTCAGAAGCCAGAACAGCAAGAGGGATCGCTGCGCAGTGAAAGCAGGAATCCCTCTTGCTGTTCTGGCTTCTGTGATAGCTGCGCAGCCTGCATTCGCTCCATAAGACGCACACACATTTCCCCTTACTTTGTAGGAGGGAAAAAGTGAGTCTTATAGAGCAAAAAATACGGTATTTTATTCTGTATTTTGATTTTATTCTGTATTTTGTATTTGATTTTATTCTGTATTTTGTATTTGGTTTTATTCTGTATTTTGATTTTATTCTGTATTCTGTATTTTATTTTATTATGTATTTTGATTTTATTCTGTGAACTGTCCTGAGACCCTCATGTATAGGGCGGTATATAAATTAAATAAATTAAATTAAATTAATAAATTATATTATCCAAGAGGCTGGGTGCTATAGCCTCTGTAAATACTGAGTAAAAAAGAACGGTAAGAAATCTCCCTTGTCTTTATACAGTGGTACCTCGGGATGCGAATGGGATCCGTTCCGGAGCCCCATTTGCATCCTGAATGGAATGTAAGACGTGACGGTGCGTGGGCGCGTGCGCGGGTCGCATTTTGCTGCTTCCGCACATGTGCGTGACGTCATTTTGAGCGTCTGCGCGAGCGGCGAAACCTGGAAATAATGCACTCTGTTACTTCTGGGTTGCCGCACAGCGCAACCCGAAAGCGCTCAACCTGAAGTGCTCAAACTTCATATGTGCTCTTTTGGGTGAATTGCTGGCCCTGTGGTCTCCAAGTTCTAGAACCTTCCAAAATATAACTGGCGCTGAAGCTCAATGCTTTGAAATGTTCACTGTTGGAAACCCCAGCACACAAGAGTGGCTATCTTAAATTGTGAGGAAACTGTAGCTACGTCACGGAGTTATCCTTGAGAAGGGAGATGAAAGGACGACGACTCTTCACAAGAAACAACAGTTTCCTTTTATTGCGTTACTGGAATGCATTTTGTAGACCAAATGTAATTCCAGGAAATGGTATTGCTTTAAAACAAATCCCAATTTTCCTGGAAGTCAAAATTGAAGAAAAGATTTTGTAAGATAAAAGGGGGGAAATTTATCATCATCATCATCATCATCATTATTATTTTGTGTGTGTGTTTGTGTGTTTTGTATGGGATGTTTGGGAGGAAACAAGATGGTAAATAACAAATAACAAATAAAATATTGATGTATGTAATTTTTATTTCTCAATTGTATTTTGTGGTAGTATGGTTGTAATGTTTTTTGTAATATAAAATCATTCAATAAAAATTATTTAATAAATAAAACAAATCCCAGTTTTCCTAATGAAGAATATGGCATGATCCATACTTCCCAGCTTGTGCAACTGCACCCATGGGATTGAATTGAGCCCTCCCCAATGACCCAGAGCCAGCCCACCCATGAGGCAAGGTGAGGTGACTGCCTCAGGCGGGAGGATCCACCAGTGCAGCTTATCCTGATGTACATCTTTATTCCTGATGTAGATCTTCATTCACCCTTCCTTGGTGGATTCGCTTCAGGTGCCAAAATGTCTTGGGCTGGGCTGGCCCTGGTGCCTCCTGGTGCCAGCCCTCAAACAGACAGGCTAACAATGTGTCAGACTTATTGTAATGTTCCTATTGGCCCTGCTATAATAAATAAATAAATAAATAAATAAATAAATAAATAAATAAATAAATAAATAAATAATAAATATTATTTTTATTTATACCCCACCCTTCCCAGTTCAAAAACTGGGCTCAGGGCGGCTAACAACAAATTTAAAACACTTAATTGTAAAAGCAGCTTAAAATACAGTATAAAAACATGAATACAGTGGTGCCTCGCAAGACGAAAAGAATCCGTTCCGCGATTCTCTTCGTCTAGCGGTTTTTTCGTCTTGCGAAGCAACCCCATTAGCGGATTAGTGCTATTAGTGGTTTAGCGGCTATTAAAGGCTTAGCGGCTGAGCTGCTAAAAGGCTATTAGCGGCTTAGCGGCTTAGAAAAAGGGAGGGGAAGCGGGGGGGAAATGGCAAGACTCGCAAGACATTTTCGTCTTGCGAAGCAAGCCCATAGGGAAATTCGTCTTGCGAAGCAACTCAAAAACGGAAAACCCTTTCGTCTAGCGGGTTTTCCGTCTTGCGAGGCATTCGTCTTGCGGGGCACCACTGTAACAATAAAATTGAAAGTTCAGAAATCAATTTAGTGGAAATCCATCTAATAAGCATTAGATAATCTCCAGGGCTAGTTGGCTGAATTGGTCCTACTTGGGCCAGTGAGGAGGCCAGGGGAGAATTAGCTGTGGGATCTCAGAGCGGGTGATCTTCATAAAAGGGGATGGGGAGATTGCCAGAAGTCACCCAATTGTGACATGGGCTTGGCTAAGGAGGGAGTGTTCCTGGAGCCCAGAGCCCATGCCAGGCTCTGACATCACAACTGGCGGCAGAATCCTGCTGCGGAATTCCGTTTCCTAGGAGACCATTTGAGTTTTTGAAAAGGCTCCTTAGTCAGTTGAAAGTCAGTTGGAAACAGTTGAAAGCCCTTCGGATTAACTGACTTTGTGGACAAAGTCAGCTAATCTTCTACCCCCATGGCACAATGTGGTGCTGGTTGCACAGAAGGCAAAGTTCATGGGCAATAGGCGAGGCATCCTGAAGATTCATGCCCCCAAAAACATGACCAGTTTTTAAAGATGCTCTTTGGTCATTTGACCTTTCTAAAACTCACGCTGGTTATTACGTGAGCCAGCAATTTCCCCAGGGAGTTTTTCTGGGAAATTATCCGAGTTTCCCTTTTTGGTTTACCGTAAGGTTACCAGATTTTTTTCAATGAATCCGAGGACACTTTTCAACCTCAAAGGATTTTGTATGGGGACTGGTTTGTAAATCCGGGGACTGTCACTGGGAACCAGGGATGCCTGCTAACATTATTTTACCATCAAAATTGGAGCAGAATGACTCTCTGCCTCAGGTACATTTCTGGCATCTTGAATCAGTTTCCCAACTCCCACCAGCCCCAGATAGCAGGCCAGGGGGGCAGGGGGAGGGAGAGGAGGGGAGTTGGAGTCCCATAGCAACATCTGGAAGGCACCACCATTTGGAGGAGGCTGGATGTAGAAAACATCAGGGTAATTTGGCATCATGGCCCTGGGTGACTGGTCAGGACTTTATCCTGGCCCTGATGAGTAGCCAGAATTAGTCACTCGCTGTCCAATGTGAAAAGTGGAGGAAAGGACTTTGTTAGTCATCTGTAGGAGAGCAGCCCTGGGGATCCGCTCTGCACTCTTTGGAAAATGAGACGTAACTTGTGGTGCCTTTTGTCTATTTAAAAAGTTGTACAGTGGTACCTCGGGTTACATACGCTTCAGGTTACATACGCTTCAGGTTACAGACTCCACCAACCCAGAAATAGTGCTTCAGGTTAAGAACTTTGCTTCAGGATAAGAACAGAAATCGTGCTCCTGCGGCGCGGCGGCAGCAGGAGGCACCCCAAGTGGTGCTTCAGGTTAAGAAGTTTCAGGTTAAGAACGGACCTCCGGAACGAATTAAGTACTTAACCCGAGGTACCACTGTAGTGACTTTGCACAGTTAGTTCGGTGAGTTTTTCCTTGAGGAGAGGCAAAATCCCCTCAAAATGTGTGTGTGGCTGACAGGCACTTACTGTATTTTTCGCTCTATAAGACGCACCCGACCACAAGACGCACCTAGTTTTAGAGGAGAACAAGAAAAAAAATATTTTCTCCCTCTCTGCGCATCGCCTCTCCAGCAAAGCGGGGTGAGAAATGGAAGGGGCTCCGTTTCTCCTCCCGCTTTGCTGAAGGCGTGCTGCACAGCTTTCCCTCTCTGAGCAGCGCCTCTTAAGCACTGAAGAGGTGCTGCGCAGAGAGGGAAAGCTGCGCAGCGCCTCTCCAGCGAAGCAAAGTCAGAACAGCAAGAGGGATAGCTGCACAGCGAAAGCAGCGATCCCTCTTGCTGTTCTGGCTTCTGGGATAGCTATGCCAAGCCTCTTCAGGGCAGGGGGAGTGTTCCTCCCATTGCCCTGAAGAGGCTTGGCATGGCTATCCCTGAAGCCAGAACAGCAAGAGGGACCTGGCTTCAGCGAAAGCTGCGCAGCCTGCATCCGCTCCATAATGCACACACACATTTCCCCTTACTTTTTAGGAGGGGAAAAGTGTCTTATAGAGTGAAAAATATGGTAATCTGCAAGGAGGATGGAGAAGGAGGAGGCACAGAGCAGGGCGGAGAGGCTGGTGGTGACTGGGGGGGGGGATGTCTTTCTGTGGCTCTTACCTCAGGTCTCAGAAATATTTTACTGTGTGAACAACACAGGGGAAATGCTGCGTTCCCACCCAAGCTGCTTTGCGTGTCGAGGTTCCCGTGGCCACCCCAAATAACTCACACTTCACACATCAATTTTTGTTTAAGGTTTTTGGCATGAATTTGGCCACAACTTTATTTAAATACACACATGTGAGTGGTTGCTTAGGCATTGGTTATGACTATCTGTCCTTGCCCAGGGACAGAACTGACTTCCGGATTCCAGCGGAAGCCAGTGAGGGAAACAATTTTGGGGAGAAAATGAAGCTGGGCCTCAGTCCCTCACTTCTCACCCTCATGCTCCTGGTGGCTTGCATGGCCCAAGTCCGATGCCAGGGACAAGGACGAAAAGAATGGCAAGCCCCTGGATTCCTTTAACGGAATTCCCTTGGAGGGGTAAGGCACTTACCCCTCCACCAACCAATTTAATAATAATAATAATAATAATAATAATAATAATTATATTATTTTATTTATACCCCGCCCTCCCCAGCCAAGGCCAGGCTCAGGGCAGCTAACAACCAATAATAAAAACAAGTTGAATGATTACAACTTAAAAACAACATTAAAATACAACATTAAAACATCAAAACATTAAAATGCAGCCTCATCATAGGAGGAAAAAGGAAAAAAGAAAGAGGGGGAGGGAATCAATTGGCTCCAAGCCAAAGGCCAGGCGGAACAACTCTGTCTTACAGGCCCTGCGGAAAGAAATCAGATCCTGCAGAGGCCCTGGTCTCATGAGACAGAGTGTTCCACCAGGCCGGAGCCAGTGTTGAAAAGGCCCTGGCTCTGGTTGAGGCTAATCTAACTTCCTTAGGGCCCGGGACCTCTAAGGTGTTGCTATTTATGGACCTTGAGGCTCTCCGTGGGGCATACCGGGAGAGTTTAATGTATTCCTGGGTCACTGTCCTTTCTCTGCATCAGGATTGGGGATCTTATTCCTCTCCAGATGCTGTGGACTCTAATTCCCACCATCCCCTCTCTTGACATTAGCCATGCTAACTGGGTCTGATAGGAGTTGGGAGTCTGACAGCACCTGGAAGGCCGCAGGTTCCCCATTCCTGCAGTTTTATGTATCCATTTGTGGCTCATAAAATGTGATGGGGGTCTGTGAGAATTGTCCAAGCCCATTTCTAATCAATGTATGACATGCATTCACTCTGCCAGCCTATGCTCTGTTGGGACTCTTTGAACTGTGGGTCTTGACTCTCAGTATCAGTGTAATTCAGCACTTTGTTTCTGTTGATGTGCATAGGATTGTGTTCAGTATTTTCTCTTTTGCCATCCCCTGTATTCTCTCTGCTCACATATCAAAGATGCCAGATGGGTATCAGGTGGCCAGGGCATCTGCCTATGAATCTTGAAGCAACCAACAGACTAAAACCCCTGGAAAGCCGCCACTGTGGAGCAAGGTAGATTATATTAGATTAGGTGGACTATTGGTCTGAGTCTGCAAGGCAGTGTTTATATGCTCGTATTGCTAACTCAATACTGTGGAATTTGAGTCATTGTCATTCTATTGTGTTTTATTGTGGGTTGGGGGAAAACATTTTGATTATCAATATTTTCCTATTTCAGGTGTACTTATTAAAATTTCAGTGAGCAGGATATTATCAGCAGATCATGCAGGGCCCTGGTCTCATGAGGCAGAGCGTTCCACCAGGCCGGGGCCAGTGCTGAAAAGGCCCTGGCTCTGGTTGAAGCCAATCTAACTTCCTTAGGGCCTGGGACCACTAGGGTGTTGCTGTTTATGGACCTTGAGGCTCTCCGTGGGGCATACCGGGAGAGGCGGTCCCGTAGGTACGGGGGTCCTAGACCATGAAGGGCTTTAAAGGTCAAAAGCAGCAGCTTAAATCTGACCCTGTACTCTACCAGGAGCCAGTGCAGTTGGTAAAGCACTGGGTGAATATGCTCCCATGGCAGAGACCCCGTGAGGAGCCTCGCTGCAGCATTCTGCACCCGCTGGAGTTTCTGGGCCAGCTTCAATTTGAACCAATGCCTAAGCTGCTTTCCCAGGTAATGATCTCAGAGCATTAAGCGGGATGTAAATGACATAAATAAACGAGACACATTGTCTCTCCACCACTGAGCACTCAAGTGGCACTCAAAACAGAGCAGGCCATTTCTGTCCCCCTTCTGTCCCTGCCTTGCTCAACCTCACCTCCCATGTATCTTCCCTCCCCTCCCAGGCTCTCTGTTGGGGAAAATGAAGGATCTCCAGGAGAAAGAGCCGCTCATTGAGGAGATCTGGGACCTCCTGCTTTCCCAGGTAAGGATCCCAGAGCAGGGCGGAGAGGCTGGTGGCAACTGGGAGGGGACTGCCTGTGGGTCTCCAGTTGAGTTGGGCGCCTTGATTTCCTGATGCTCACCAGGCTTGTTTCCTCTCCCCTGCCCCCTTCTTTCTTTCCTTCCTAACCCCCAGTTTGACGTGGGTGCAAGCAAAGAGGACCAGCAGTCCGGCATCAAATTCAGCTTGCAGCAGGCCAGGGCCCTGCAGTTCCTGCGGACCAAGCAGCGGAAGGATGCTCACTTGCAACACTTCATCCAGGTAAGCTGCGTGAGAAGAGGAGTTTGAGCTCACAGAAGGGGCCTTCTCTGCTGGTTTGGCACTCTCCTGGGGGGCTATTTTACCATTCTGGGGGAGGGGGCAGGAGGCCTGTCCACTTCTCCCTGCTCTTCACTCCTTGGGCAAATGCCAGAGTGCAGAAGAACCAGCCAGATGATGTCAGTTAGGGGTCATTCCACGCCAGATCACCTGATTTTAATACTCAAGCGTGCTCTCACAACTCAGATTTATTTCAAAAAAAATATTTGTGTGTAGATGCCTATGAGATAGCCTTAAATTAATTTTTTGGGTCCAAAATTGGGTGCAGGAGCAATATTTATTAAATTCTATTTTCACATTATTTAGACTATTGCAATTTCTGTGTCAGTTTAGAAAAAAAACCTCCTGTTTTGCTTATTTTTCAATCAACTGGACTTATTTTGGTATCAAAATAAAGCTAATTTTGGTCTCTTTCAAAATAAGGCATTAAAAATGGTATTAAGTGCCACAGAAAAGGGTTTTGAGACGTATTTTATTAAATAACTAATAAAGCTTACTTTTTAAATATTTTATAACCACAAATACACCCTTCTTATTTTTAAAATATAACAAGTTCATGGTTTGCCCATTCTACAAAAAAGTATGAGACATGTGTTAGTTGTGGTTTGCGTGCTATGGCTTGTTGAACCTACCAAGGTACAAAATGACTCAAATTCACTTTGAACGGTCGGTGACCCTTTTCTGTGGCTCTTGGGTGCTAAACTATTGTTGCACGCTACCGCAATCTCCAGGTAGCGCAAGATTCCAAAGGGATCCAGGGGCTTTCCCTAGGTTTGGTTTCCTTGGAATGAGGGGCAGCCTCCTGTTCTGACAGCAGCCGCCCAGTTGCCCCAAAGGAGAAGCCCCTAAGCAGGCAGGAGCTGAGCAGCAAGGCTCATCCCACTCGCTTTGTTGCTTGTGATCCTGGAGGTGGCTGACTCTCTGCTGTCCAGAAACATGTTGTCTGTCTGCTTCCTTCTCTGCCTCTCCCAGAAAATTGAGAGCTGCCCTGAATGCCACCACCGCCAGCTAAAGGATTTCCTTCAGTCTGAGATGCAGACCTGACCAGCTACTCTCTGCTGCTGAATAACACGATCCAGCACACTGATGGTCTCTCTGATGGTGATGTCCAGCCCTTTGTGTGTTTGTGTGAGTTGGAGGGGGAGGACCAAAGTCAAAAGGATGAGGGACAGCGGGCATGTAGGGGCAGGGTCTCCAGCCTTGCCAGCCCCTCTTTGTCCACGCAGGCCAAGAAAACAAAATAGGTTTCCACTTTGAGCTCCATTGCTATACCCCTCAACCGCCCTTGCCACGCACCCCACTATTTCTCAGTTCTCGACCACCCTGTGCCAACCTGGAGTCACAGGCAAGGGAGAAGGAGCTGGTCCAAGCCTCAGAGGGCAACGTCTGCCCCTGGAGCAAGAAGCAGCTGGAGGAGAGTGTTGGAATTCCGCCTGGGTCAGAGGAATGTGCCACAGCGTAAGCACCGGCAGATATTCCTTGTCGACCTCCCCGCTGCGCCAATCTGCTGATAAGCAGGCGAGGTCTCGGCGATTCTTCTCAGATGTGTGAGAGGAACACACCGCTCTTCCTCTCTCCCCTTTGGTGTCCCCCAGGGAGGGGAAAGAAGCAGACAGAAATCTATTTACATCCTTTATTTCTGTCTCTTATATCAGTACAGAGAAACATGTCTGCACTCAACAACAGTAAGAAGAAACTCCTCCCATGTACTTCCAGTACGGGTCATATGACACACACACTGAGCTAACATCCGGTGCTCAGTACAGAATGGACTGCCCCTTTGTTCCCATGGCAACAGTCACAAACATCCTGTCTGGCTTTCCAGCCACAAGCAGCTGACTGAGCTGCTAGAGCCTTTGCTTGCTGCAGCATTGGTGCTTTATGGTAACAAAGAGAGCCGGAGGAGGGGTCTTTGAGAGACCCCTCAAAGCCCCCATATTCACGCCACGCTCCACTTAAGGGTCTTTGCCTGGCTGGACTACTTTCCTGAGCTGGGATAAGAGGCTACGTGGGCAGAGGAGGTGGGGTGGGTGACTTTTGGCCTGGCTGGACTGTAGCCAACAGGGCAGAAGTGGGAGCTGCATCCATGGCTGCCTAACCTTTGGGCCTTGGCCCCTCCCACTGTCAGCAAGAAGTCCCCAGGAGGTTTCCCATGGGGGCAAGTGGCGGCTGCCCACATTCTCAGGGGTACCTAACCCCTCTCCATTGGACTCCCCCTTTTGCAGGAGATGGAGGAGAAGCAGTGGAGCGTTACACGGCCTGTGAATTGCTGCAAAGAGGAACATCTAGCAAAAACCAGCCGTGTTGAAATGTCTTCTACAGCATCTTCTCATACAAGCACCAAAAAAACCGCCACCCTGTTCCGATAGCCACAGATGGCAAGTGCCTATTTTCCTCCTCAAAACTCTGTGTTGCAGAAGGGAGTTTGGATCCCCCTGAGGCTAGCCCCAGAGGCCTGTTTAAGCAAGGAAAGCAACTATTTTGCTAAACACAAATTCAGAACGGAAAGAAAGTGTACTGAAGTTATTGTGTTATTCAGTAGTTGATCTTATCCTCCTTGAAGATGACTCCATTTGTACGGCAGAAGTTCCTTCTTTGGGGCCAATATTTATTGGGGTCCCCCCCCCAAATTTTTTTTGACAAATCAGTGCCAAATTACATCAAATTTAAGACAAAAAAGTTAACTTCCGGCTCTAGTTCCTTGATGCATCCCTGTTTCCCCCCTGTTGCAGTTGATGTAATGTGTTTATCTCTGACAATTTATTCCTCATCTTCAATTCCTTATCCAACAGCTGTTGGTTTATCAATTCCTGTTCATACGGTCAGGCAGAAGTTCCATTCAGGTCTCCTTGTCTAAGCTGGGCCCCTGAGCTCCCGGCACCACTGCTCAGGACTGCTGTGAGGATCCTTGTCTTTGCTTTTATTTACAATATTTTGTTCAAGCTGGCACCCATAGGTGCCACGTCCAGGGGGTCCAGGGGGCCCAGGCGCCATCAAAATTTGCCCCCTGCCACCCACTCTGGTGACTGGGCCTGTGTCTCTACCATGTGTGTGTGTTTTGGCACGAGATGTCATTTCTTCCATGTACCCACAGTCTTCTTCTTGCTGATGCGCAGCTGCAGAAGCCCCTCCTGGATTATGCGGTGCTCCATGAGGTCAAGGTTCTGCACAGCAGGGGCAGAAAAAGGCAGCATTTCATGGAGGGGAAGAGCAGGACAAGGCCAGGGATTGGAGGGGAGGGCAAAGAGGAGACCTTACCAGGAAGGGCCTGGCCAGTGGGCGGCTGCCCTTGTGTAGGGATCGGGCATCCAGGCACTGTTGGTAGGCTTGCAGCCGCCGGTGGTTCTCTGCCTGCCTCAGCTCTGCCTGGTCGTCCTCAAGGATCTCCTTGCACTCATTGCGTGCCAGGCAAAGGCACTGGTGCTCCCAGCTCGCCCCTGAGCGAAGAAGGTGCAGAGCGAGAGGGTGATAGAGAGAGAGACACGGGCAAAGTTGGTTTGTTTTAGTTTGAAACCCAAAGCAGCTCCCAGCGCAAACCATTAGTGTGCTGGATGGTGTTATCCAGCAGCAGAGAGTAGCTGGCCAGGCGCCGCAGCTCACAATCCAGGAAATCGGTCAGCTGGCGGTAGTGGCATTCAGGGAGCTGCTCTTGATGTCCTGGGAGAGGCAGAGAAGGAAGCAGACAGACAACATGTTTCTGGACAGCAGAGAGTCAGCCACCTCCAGGATCACAAGCAACAAAGCAAGTGGGGCGAGGCTTGCTGCTCAGCTCCTGCCTGCTTAGGGGCTTCTCCTTCGGGGCAACTGGGCGGCTGCTGTCAGAACAGGAGGCTGCCCCTCATTCCAAGGAAACCAAACCTAGAGAAAGCCCCCGGACCCCCTGGAATCTCACACCACCTGGAGATTTGGGTGCCGTGCAACTAGAGTATGTCACCTAATCTACACCACCTAGCTGGTTCGCCTGCACTCTGGCATTTGCCCAGGGAGTGAGCAGCAGGGAGAAGAGGACAGGCTGCCTGCCCGCCCCCGCCCCCGCCCCCGCCCCCCATGGGAAAAGAGAGACAGTGCCAAGCCAGCAGCCGAGAAGGCCTGCTGGAGCTCCTCGCTTGCAGCCACCCCAAACTGGGGGGAAGGAAGGAAAGAAGGGGGCAGGGGAGAGAGAGGAAACATGCCTGGTGAGCATCAGGAAATCAAGGCGCCCAACTCAACTGGAGACCCACAGGCAGCCCCCTCCCAGTTGCCACCAGCCTCTCCGCCCTGCTCTGGGATCCTTACCTGGGAAAGCAGGAGGTCCCAGATCTCCTCAATGGGGGGCCCTTTCTCCTGGAGATCCTTCATTTTCCCCAACAGAGAACCTGGGAGGAAGAGACATGGGAGGGGAGGTTGAGCAAGGGAACTGGGAGTGGGGGAATAAGGAATAACCCCTGCAGGGAGAGGAGGGGGACGGAGATCATCCTGTTTTGTTTTTAGTGTCACTTTGTCAGTGGTGGAGAGATAATATGTCTCATGTATGACATAACTAAGTAAAAACTAAATTTGGATCTACAATGTAATAGAAAATGTGAATGTATAAATACAGTACAGTGGTACCACAGGTTAAGTACTTAAATTGTTCCGGAGGTCCGTTCTTAACCTGAAACTGTTCTAAACTGAAGCACCACTTTAGCTAATGGGGCCTCCCGCTGCCACCACTCTGCCAGAGCACGATTTCTGTTCTCATCCTGAAGCAAAGTTTTTAACCCGAGGCACTATTTCTGGGTTAGCGGAGTCTGTAACCTGAAGCATATGTAACCTGAAGCATATGTAACCTGAGGTACCACTGTATTAAAAAAATCCAAGAGAATGCAATAGAAAATAAACATGCCTTCAGGACCTTTTCAAAAGACCTGCAGTGATGTAGTCCTCTTGGCAGAGCTTTCCACAAATGCCCAAAGACATACCCTCCAACATTTCTCCGATGGAAATAGGGATGTCCCATTCCATAATGATAATGACCACAGTGGTACCTCGGGTTACATACACTTCAGGTTACATACGCTTCAGGTTACAGACTCCGCTAACCCAGAAATAGTACCTTGGATTAAGAACTTTGCTTCAGGATGAGAACAGAAATCGTGCTTTGGCGGCGCAGCAGCAGCAGGAGGCCCCATTAGCTAAAGTGGTCTTCAGGTTAAGAACAGTTTCAGGTTAAGAACAAACCTCCGGAACGAATTAAGTACTTAACCCGAGGTACCACTGTACAGACATACCTTGGGATGAATATGCTTCAGGATAAGCATTTTCGGGTTGCGCTCTGCGGCGACCCGGAAGTAACGGAGCGTGTTACTTCCGGGTTTTGCCATGTGCGCATGCACAGACCGTCAAAATGACGTCATGCGCATGCGTGGAAGCGCCAAAATGTGACCCGCACATGAGCAGACACAGTTTACGTTCGCTTCGGGATGCGAACGGGGCTCCGGAACGGATCCCGTTCGCATCCCTAGGTACCACTGTATAGGAAATATGAAATTCTATGTAAATATTATATATATGCACTGGAACATTAATAAATGGTCCATGAAAAAAAAAATGTGTGCCCAGGCCCCCCTGGACTTAGCACCTATGGGCGCCAACCTGAACAAAATATTGTAAATAAAAGCCGTCCGTGGCTGCAGCCAGCCCCAACAGATGACTCCCGTGAGCAGGAATTGACAAATAGATTGGCAAATAGATTGAAAATTTTAATCTTAAAATTTGGATTGAAGATTAAAGAAATGGAACATTTTATTTTAATGTTTACAGAGTTTTTCATTCATAAAAGTGAGTTTATAGGCCTTAATTAATAATGTTGTTATTTGGTGGGTGGGGGATGGGCTGTTTGTTTATTTTTTGTTCATGTTGTCATGTATTTAGTGCTTTTATATTGCATTTTTATGTTGTCAGCACCCTGAGTTCTGTGGACTAAGGGCAATGTACACCTTTAATAAATACATTTAATGATAATAACTTCCACAAGGTGGTGTCTCTGCTGTTTGATGGATGAGGTGCCGACAAGCTATTCTGCAAAGGTTTTGCAGAGCATAGCCTGCTACTTGCACAGTTTTTCCCAGAGAGGCCAGCTGTTCCTAAGGGGATTTTAAATTTAAAGGGCAACTCGCATTTTTCCGCAGCGCTTTCTTTCGGGGTATGGGACTGTATTCATGCTTCTGTATACTTGTAGGCATGCACTTAGCCACACGCATTATATTCATGACCAAAGGATGACACAGCCCTCCAGAAAGGGTTAATGCATGCCTGTCTTTAATTTTTCTATGGCTTGGATTGCTGTGAACAGCTTCCATGAATGTGTGTGTGTATGAATGAATGAATGAATGAAGAAAGGAAGGAAGTGTCTCTTTTTCTTTCCATTTCAGCCCAGAGGCTGCCAGGAAGACCCTTAGGGCATGCAGCTCCTCCTAACTCCCTCCCCTTCCCAGGTCCCCCCACGAGGGAAGGGGCAGTTAACACCACAGCCCCACCCAGGGGAGAAGGGGGCAGCTTCCACCAGGAACACCCCCCCCAAGAGAAGGAGCGGTCCTCATGTCATCCCAATAGAAAGGGCAGCCCCAAACCCTCCTTACACCAAGAGATGGAGCAGCCTGCTGCCCAGTCCCCACAGCCCAAGATAGGGGCAGCTCCCACCCTTTCTGCAAAAGATGGGGACACCCCATTCCACCATCCCAAACTCCCCTTATCCCAAGCATCCCAGCAGGTCTGTGAGCTCTTAGAACAGTGAAATATACTCAGAGTCGAGACTGGATTTCATGCTCTTTATTCAGCTCATAGTGGGAGGAGGAATGAAAGTTCCCCCCAAAGTATCTGCTTTATATACATTATTTACAATGGGCTGCACGTGATTGGCTAATTCCGGAATTCTCCTGTAGGCCAATCAGGTTGTAGATTCACTTCCACCTAGAGCTGGATTGGGTGGCTCCTGCAGACCAATCATACTGCTGCATTGTTCTAGGACCAATCAGACTGCTGCATTTTGGATCCTATTGTTTTAGGACCAATCAAACTGCTGCAATTTAGATACCATTCAACTCAGTACATAACAAACAGGATGCTGCAATTCCTAAGACGCAGCACGGGTTTCTCAAAGACAAGTCACGCCAGACAAATCTCATTTCTTTTCCTGATGGAGTTAAAGCTTGGTGGATCAGGGGAATGCTGTGGGCATAGTGTATCTTGATTTCAGTTCTGTCTTAGTTCCTCCCTGGCACAGCCTTGAGTACTGAGGAGCATTCCTGCACATTAACTTCAGACAGGTGAAGCTTTCCCCACCATTTATATCCCTGGCAGGAAAAGCTTCATCAGTTCTAAATTTCCATACTCCAAGAGCAGGGCCTCTAGAAAAGATTATCTCGTTGCCGCAAAAGAACTGCAACCTCTCTGGGACATTTATCACATTTTACGGGTGGCTTTACAAGAGTGTTTCCCAAGCACATGGGCCCCTGGCCACCCCCAAGATATTCCGAGGGGGCCACAAGTGAAAATCACATAAATGGAGACCCACGGCATGGGACTATGGGATCACAGGGGGAAGTGAGAAGTGAAGAAAACGGAAGTGACTGAGAAAAGAAAACAGAAAAGAAAATGATATAGAATGAAATGAAAAGGGTGTTTAAAATAACCTTTTCTTTGGGAAATTATAGGGACCTAAAACATAAAGAAACTTATTCATGTATGCTACTACAGCAGCAAGAACGTTACTTGCCCCCAAATGGAAAGAAGCAGAAGTCCCAGCGAAGGAAGAATGGATACAAAAACTTATGGAGTATGCAGAAATGGCGAACCTTACCAGAAAAATAAGAAATCAAGATAACAATTTTTAAATAAAAGAATGGAAATGGTTTGTTGAACATTTACAGATAAATTATAAACAGATAAAAACATTGGCAGGATTATTGTAATAACCTGCAGTTTTATAAGAGTGTATATTTAAAGATGAATAAATGAGCAAATTAAGAATTTGAATATGCAGAAGATATTAAAAATAAATTTAAGGAACTGTAGAAGGAGGGGGAAGGAAGTCAAGTTTTGAAATGTCAAAAGGATTGCAAAATTAGAGAAATGCATAAAATTAGTGAAATGTATAAACTTGAAAAGTACAAAATAAAAATACGTGAAAAAGAAAACAGAAAAACAGCGGGGTTGGGAATCCTGGCTATGTCCATGCATGCAAGTCTTACTGCGAAAGGAAGTATGTTGCAGCGCACAGCACCACATCGCCTTGGTTGGGAGAATTCAATAGTATCAGCCTACAACCCGCATACCTCTTGCTGTGTGTTGCAACGGGGCGTCGGCCCCTTTAAGAAAGCACCGCGCGCCGGACTCGGGGAGAAGCGTGCTGCGCTACCCGCCAGAGCCAGTAGGTGGCGGGCCGCGAGCTCAGCCATATGGAACACACCGCTCTCCCCTCCTCGACTGCGGCTGCGCGAGGCGTTCGCTTACAGGGCTCTTGTGGCGCCTCGCGGCTCCCGTCGCCGCTGCCCGAACGGCGCCCGGGAAAAGCCAAAGTCGGCTGTGAGGCGTTTGGGTCGAAAGCGGCGGGCCTGAGGGTGAGTGAGGGCCGCTTCCGAGGCGGGCGGCGGGTGGGCAGGCCTATTAACCCCCTATTAATCGAGGAATGGGGCTTTTAAGCGGATGAGTTGCCAGCCCCGGGGTCAGGCAAACCCTCACCTGTTGAATTTCTGCCTCCTCCTCCTCACCTGTGGAAGTGCAGGCGTCGCCGCTGCCCTCTCTTTCACCAGGCCGCCCTGCCTCCGCAGCGCAGGGCCTCAGCATCCCAGGGTCGTAGAGTCGGAAGGGACCCTGAGGGTCGTCTGGTCCAGCCCCCCCCCTCCCCGCACTGCAGGAATATATAGCTGCCCCATACAGGGTCGCACCTGCCCCCTTGGCGTTATCAGCACCACGCTCTGGCCAACAGGAGCAGCTTGCTATTTCTTCCCGCTGCTTTTATTGCATTTTGTACATGGCATTGTGACGTGGATGGGAGGCAGCCAATACAGTGGCACCTCGGGTCACAGACGCTTCAGGTTACAGACTCCGCTAACCCAGAAATAGTACCTCGGGTTAAGAACTTTGCTTCAGGGTGAGAACAGAAATTGCGCGGCGGCAGCGGGAGGCCCCCATTAGCTAAAGTGGTGCTTCAGGGTTAAGAAAAGTCTCAGGTTAAGAACGGACCTCCGGAACAAATTAAGTTCTTAACCCAAGGTACCACTGTACAGTATGCTTCAGGTTACATACACTTCAGGTTACATACGCTTCAGGTTACAGACTCTGCTTACATAGTGCTTCAGGTTAAGAACTTTGCTTCAGGATGAGAACAGAAATCACGCTCCGGCGGTGTGGGGGGCAGCAGGAGGCCCCAATTAGCTAAAGTGGTGCTTCAGGTTAAGAACAGTTTCAGGTTAAGAACGGATCTTCAGAACGAATTAAGTACTTAACCCGAGGTACCACTGTACATAATAATGCTTCCAGGCTACCAAGCAGCATTTTTAAAATCCTGGACTAAATCCTGTGTTAAAGTTGACAGCTTTCTGTGCCGCCGTTAAGGGTATTCGCAGTATCACCGCAACAAGCGAACTGAACCCCTGAAAGTCAAGTTTTAACTCGCTCTTTCTTTACTTCGCCAAAAATAGGAAGCCGTATCTTTGGATAGTGTAAAAAATTAAAGAAGTTCTGGAATAAGGATATCGTCGTCGTCATTTGTTAAATTTGTTAGTTACTTTATCTTGCTCAGGGGTGACCCAAAGCGACTTAACAACCAAACAAGGGCGACCGAGATGATCCAAGGGTCTAGAAAACCAAGCCTTATGAGGAATGGTTGAGGGAAGCTGGGTATGTTTAGCGTGGAAAAGAGGAGACTCAGAGGAGATGTGGTTGTTGCTGGCATCTATCTGTCTGAAGAGACAGTGGAGGAGCGTGCTTTGGGGGGTTAAAGTCAAACTGTTGGAGAGTCACAGCGCCTACTGTAGAGACCAATACAGGAGAGACATGTTTTGTTGCAGATGGAGGTGTCCAGTTTCACTGTTGCAGGCGCACCATGGCGTTTTCTCTCTCCACACTCCTCCAGTGTTCATATGGTAAAAAGGTAAAGGGACCCCTGACCATTAGGTCCAGTCATGACTGACTCTGGGGTTGCGGTGCTCATCCCGCTTTATTGGCCGAGGGAGCCGGCGTACAGCTTCCCGGGTCATGTGGCCAGCATGACTAAGCCGCTTCTGGCAAACCAGAGCAGCACATGGAAATGCCGTTTACCTTCCCCCTGGAGCGGTACCTATTTATCTACTTGCACTTTGATGTGCTTTCGAAACTGCTAGGTTGGCAGGAGCTGGGACCAAACAACGGGAGCTCACCCCATCACAGGGATTTGAACCGCCGACCTTCTGATCGGCAAGTCCTAGGCTCTGTGGTTTAACCCACAGCGCCACCCGCGTTCCTCAGTTCATATGTAGCTTTCTTCAGATATCTAAAAATCTGCCATATGGAGGATGGAGAAAGCTTGTTTTCTGCTTCTCCAGAGGGTAGGACCAGAAACAATGGAGTCAAGTTAACAGGAATGGAGATTCCAACTACTGTAGACAAAAGAAAAAGCTTTCTGACAGCAAGAACTGTTGACAATGAAACAGGCTCCCACGAGAGGTGGTGTACTCTCCTTCCTTGGAGGTTTCAAAGCAGAAGTTGGGGGGCGTGTGTCATGGATGCTTTTGCTGAGATTCCTGCATTGCAGGGATTGGTCTAGATGGCCTTAAGATGGGTCCGTTCCAACTCTACAATTCTATAATTTATGAAATGGACCAACAAGGGGGGCGGGAAACAACCCACCCCACGCAGACACATTAAAGCCAAGAGGAAAAAGAAATGCAGTAAAAACACGCTACCCACTTCTAAACAGCCACAGATAGTTGAAGGCCACAGTCCTGGTTATAGAGGAACATTTTGGCATGTTTTAGAAGCATGTTCCCCCCAGCTTTTAGTATGTTACTGGTGACAAAATCCTCTGGTTGAACTTTTCATTTCAAAATATATATACACGGAATCAGGCCTATGCCATAGTGTTCTGGGGGCTACTCACCTGGTGACATTGCCCCTGCATTTCAGACGCTTGCTATTTACAATTTCCTTTATTTAACAAAAGTGGGCGGTGCCCCTCCAGACTTTTTCTGCAACATGTATTTGACAAAACAATAGTGCGTTAATGTTTTTTGTTGAATCTCTCTTTAACGCCACCTGAGAACACTTAGAACCCGATCCTGTACATATTTGGTTGGAAATAAGTAACACTTTATACAGGGAAATGACTCACAATTGTGAGTCATAAGCATTTTATCTCTTTCTTTCTTATACTGCACATGCCCAATCCAGGAGCTGTAGCACTGGCTAGATCACTGGTGATAGCACCAGTTCAGCAGGAGGAGTCTGGATTCATTCTGCCCTTTCCCACAAAACATATACACTAGTCAATGTTATTATGTTCTCCCTACAAAGACATGCAGAACACACTGGTTGGGTTGGTTGGACTTGTTAGGATACCTCCTAATGAGCACATATATCTTCTAAGACATCTCAATTCCTAGAAGAATCTGAAAATGACTCCCCCTCAAAAATGAAAGACCTGAAGTACTTTTGAAGTGGTGGTTCTTCCAAGCTGCCTGGAAATTCAGTAAACATATAGTCCAAATCATACTGATTACTAGAAAAATATGAAAATGGTACATTTGATGGCACTGAACAAGCAAAATCTTTTCTCTCCCTGCAACGTGTGGCTTTTTGTCTGGATTCCCAGGAGGATGTGTTCCCTAGCGCTCTTCCCACCCCCTCCGCCTCCGGGAGACATCACACTTTATGAATTTAATAATGCCCTGGTTTCTGGCCGCAGCTTTGAGAAGCTTCCACTTTCTTTCCAAGGACAGGTAAGCAACAGTTTTCAGTCACAGGAAGAAACTAATGTTAGGTAGCGATGAGAGAATAGATGTTCTAGCTTGTACTTGAGTCATTTTGGCTGTCAAAAGGCTTCCATAACTACTAATTAGAGATGCTCTATTAGGTGGGGTCTAGTTGAGCGGCGCCTGCGCCACAACATTATGTTTTTGTCCATTCCGTGCATGGCACTCAATGTTTATTTAATGTCTAGCCGTGCAGTGAAGATAAATGACTTATTGAGCATGGATGGATGTGTGGGTGAGCAGTACAATCACATAGTGGTAGTCACTAGAATTATATCGCTAGATGAGAATATTCGCAAGTCGTCCCCTCTGTGCCCTCATCTGCTGTTAAAGAAATGGGTTATTCCCCCTTCCCAGCCTTCCCAACTCATCCTTTTACTATGTGTAACTGGGGCAGATCTCAATGTTTTAAAGTCAGGTCAGATCAAAAATTTGGCCCATATCACCAGGCGTTGAATGCACTCTTCATAGTGACCTCACGTGTGATGGATAAGGGCAGGTTTTAGTGCTGTTGTTCCTGTTCGACTGTTGAGCTTTTCAGAGTTTCTTTGGGGATCGCTCAGCAGACAGCAAGTCTTCTAGCTGTACAGCCAACACGAGACAATCAACTATAGTAAGTGAAAAAGGCCTGGGGGGGGGGAAATCTTGAACAAAACAAAACAAAAAACTAAGGAAAGAGAATCAACCAAAGCCAAAAGTTTTGGTTTACACTGTCAGTCTCACAGATGCAGGAACTGAAATTCATGGGTACAGAAATTCAAATAGGTAAAATTCGCACTTTTTGGAAGAAGAGGGCATGTTTCTTAAGTCTTCAAGCTTGATTGCAAGCACTGGAAAATGTGCAAGGCAACATCACAGTGAAATAAAAATAGCCAGAAACTGGTCTAACATAGGACTTTTTCTTTTTATTAAAAGGTGTAAAGCTTTCGTGCGCTGCATAAAACTTTTGCCCTTCCATTTAATGAACTAGTAGAAGTCTAGCAATGAATTGTGAAAATAAATAGTGCAAATCTGCATAAGAATATATAGGTCACAGAATTCACGGTGTTGGAACAATAACTTAAGTATTCGTACACATTTCAGTGAATTGTCAACCAGTCGATCGTAATCGTATACAGTAACAATGATACAGGCACACTCCCATTTTGGTGCATGAGTTTGATCTATGCATAACCACGGAATCCATTTTACCATGTTCCAGCACCAGCAAGAGAAGGCGAAGAGGCTTACAACAACATCCACTGACACATGCCATGACTGGAACGTAACCCCTGCGTAAAATAGGCGAGTTGCCCTATATTTGTTTACTCAAATATGCCACACAGTAATTCTTTTCAATAATTTTCTCTCTTGGCTGACTGCTCCTTCTTCTGCGCTGCACACTTTATTGAAACCCAGCAGTTCACATTAG